TTTTCTTTTTTAGCCCACCGCTGTATTTACCAACCTATGGCCTGACAACCTACAAAGAAACATTAATATATTAGAAATTTCACCACCTGCTAGCAGACGTTTCTCATGGCGATTTAAGGCACAACAATTTACACCTTATGTACTCCTTGTCCACACCGTGGTAAAAAAAGGAAATTTTTTTGTGTTGTGTTCACGTACTCCATGAAGCGGGTGCGTGAAATTAGGACGTTTCATGTCGCAGTCGTACAACAACGGCTAAGAAATGTACAAAAAAAACCGCCATGCACTTGCAGAGTTGTTATTTTGTTATCTCAACCTATTGCTTTTTTCGCTGTTCTCTCTGCCGTCGCCGTCGTCGTTGCTTAAGCTTCCTATTATTGTGATCCAGAACTTTCCCGCACCATGGTAACGTTACGTCACACTTCTCCTCTCTATAGAAAGCGTTTATTAATATTCGCACTAATATAAACAGGTGATAGTGCAGTTCCGGGAAAACTATCAATAGTTCAGATTACCGAGAAGCAATATTGGTATGTGTATTCAAAAAATAAAATGAAATAAAATAAACTTCAATTTTTGAAACTCATCCGTGTACGGACACTACTATTCGGAAGTTTACATCGTTAGCTCTGAAAAAAAAAACGATTTTAACAGGACGGATTATAGAAGCTTTTGGTTGCTTTTCTTACGGCTGATTTAATGGAGAGACTTCGAATTCACGATTCTAAGTAGTACGAAATATTCATCAATTAAACTTGCACTTCACGCGTTAAGATTTTGACCATCAACAAAGAGTTTTACTTTGCTATGAGGGTCATTTGTTAAGACTGATCTTCGTCTCCGGTTCAGTATTAGAGACCCTTAGCGTCAGGCATTTCATGGGAAATCGCAAACCGCAAACTGAAGGAGGGGGGTGAATAGGCGAAAGGATCGGCGGATTTTGAAAATATTTTTGCCCGGATTTTGGATTCAGAGCAAGATTTTAACGGATGCTCGGATCCTGCAATTGCAGCGGATTGCGGATTCATTCATTTTTGGGACCGGATTTTGGACTTTGCGTGTAATTAATACATTTTTGCCCGGATTTTGGATTCAGGGCGAAATTTTAACGGCGGATTTGGTTAATAAATCATAATGGATCGGCGAATTTGCATACCCCTATTCACCCGCCTCCTGCAGTTTGCCGTTACGCGTTTGAAGTTTCACATTACCGGGATTTCAAATTTTAGCAAGGCGTTCAGCTCCGTTTATTTCTATTTAGCCAAAATATAAAACAATACAAGAATACATATAGGAATTGTAAGTTGGCAAGGGAGTCCAGAAGAAACCAGAAGGCTTATGAAGCTTGGGCTCCCCAGTCACAAAGAAATAAGTAAAATAAAATGAAATTCGCGAAGTGATATGTAAAAAATAAGAACTAAACTGAGACTGCAGTTAAGTTATGAGTTCAGTAACAAAATAGAAAAAAAACTTAAACTCTGGATTGGAACAGAAAACGTCCTTATGTTAGTACGGCAGAAAGGAATATAAAATCGATTTGAACTACGCGTTCATTGTTTAGTCCGCCATGTTGTTTTTCATCAAGTCGAAGTGCATCACTTTTATCGCCCAAAAAACAGGAATAATTCATTGATTCGAGGTCAAAAATCCAACAAATATATCGCAGACGAATATAAAAAGTTATTTCGTGCCTTAAAACGCGAGGCTGTACAATATTTACTGGCAAAAAACCTTACGGTAAGTCACTTGCCGCTGGAATCCCTTCCTGCCGTTCAAACGTGAAGTGCAAGCTGCAACGCAACGGCAAGACCGTGGTCACGTGACATTTTCCGGTTAGAGGTTTCCGGTTTTCCATGAAAAAACCTGATGCTAAAGGTCTCTAATGAAACATCAAGGCCCGGTCCAGTCGCAGAACTTTTCATGAACCAAAGGAAATTCAGTGAAATTAAGGCCGACCAAAATTATCACGATCCACTGAACTTATTTTAGACGCCGATGTTAATTCTAACCGAACTAAATTCGAAAGGAGAGAAATACCCATTTCGTTCAAAATACGTTATTTATAGTAATTTCTGCCTTACAAAGCTCGGCGTCTGAACCAAAGCCGTTCTAAATTCGCTCCGAAGTCGAAACTCCCGGCGGTGCCTTCTAAATAAACTGATTCAGACGCCCGGAACTTTTTATGTACTATAAATTTAATGTATTCGGTTTGGTTCATGAAAACGGTTCGGCGCCTGAAGCGGGCCAAAAGCCACGACTTACATTTTCAGACGTTCCAACACGAGGTTGTTTTAGGGGCACCCAACGAGAATATAGTTCAAAATCACTTAAACATAACATTGTTAAACGTATTTTAGTATTTAAACGGTAGATATCGGTATACTTTTATCCCCTAAAATATTTCATCTGTTCGGATTTCCTAGATAAAAGTCTAGTGATCCGAAAATTAAAGGGATCAACCTACCTTTTCGAAAATTTCAGCCAGAAAAAAGGCTCCCAAAAATTCTAGGTTACCTTTTAGGGTAAGAATCCGTTAAAAATAGGCAATTAGACCATTTTTTAACTGTTCGAAAATCCTAGGAGAGGCAGGCAAGCAAGAAATCTTACAACATGACAAATGTTCCGAAACTTCTAGATCTCAAATCGTCTTCCCTGAACAGATATTTTCCGAAAATTGACGTTGGTCATCCCCGTAGTTTGTGCGATACCAAACATTTAACACGCACAGCTTGCCTTTAAGCTTTTCGAGCCCATCATACACATACCACGATGAATAATATCTTTCCTCAGTATTTTCAGATGCTACTGATTCCTCTTTAACCCTATACATTGATCCCACCGTTCCCAAAATGTAATAAACAGACTAAGAGTAGTTTTAAGGCATTATCGGATTTAGTTTTCTTACGGAAAACATATTTTGAATATGAATATTCAAACCTTTCAAATGTAAATATTTCTAAATGTTTCTTCGGTTTAACGAAGTCGAATTTTTGTTTTTCGCAACCTTTAAGCTGAAATTTCAATTTTAAAAGAATGATTGCATTTGCAAAGAATCGGTAACGGAAAAGCTAGGGAAAGCCTCATCTACGAGAATGGGTTTCACTTTCAAAAAAAAAACTTGCTTACACATGCATTCAACGAGACACTGACTTTAAGCTTTTCCTCTTAAACTTCTCTACGCCACCATTTTTGGTACAGCTCTTGTGAAGTATTATGCTTTAAATAAAACATTAACAGAAAGACCGTTTCTAAGAAAAATGACGTCAGTGAGTGGTTTCCGAGTTCTTGGTAGAAGTCTAGGTACCATGAACACCTGCAAACTAATGAGAAATTCAAGTTCAAATGGGAATCTAGCTTTGCGAACTAGAGACTCGTAAGCGCACTCGGACTTGTAATTTACGAAATTTTAAAGCTGATTGCATGCTTCACTGGAATGTCAAGAGTCAATTCACGTTAGCCTTAGCAGGTTACATGTAATAGCATAGTGACTACCGTGATACAAACAATAAACGAGCCCATCATACACATACCACGATGAATAATATCTTTCCTCAGTATTTTAGATGCTACTCATTCCTGTTTAACCCTATATAGTGATCCCACCGTTCCCAAAATGTAATAAACAGACTTAGAGTAATTTAAAGGTATTATAGGATTAAGCTTTCCTAAAAACGTGTTTTGAATATGAATATTCAAAAAATAGTCGATTTTTTGTTTTTTAATAACATTTAAGTTATAATTTAAATCTTAAAAAATTAAAATGATTACATTTACCAAGAATTGGAAAGGGAAAAGCTAGAAAAAAGCCTCATCTACAAGAATGGGTATTACTTTCAAAAAAATCTTGCTTATACATGCATTCACCGAGACACTGACTACTTTCGATTTCAAGTGTAAATATGACTGATTCTAAAAATAAGAACGTTCTCGTTTTGTATTTCCACTCCAAACCTAATAAAATAAAATCATCTTGCGCTACTAGATTGACTAAAAAGGAGAGAACTACCCATTTCGGTCAAAATACGGACTTACTTATAGTAGGTTCTGCCCTTATAAAGTTCAGCGTCTGAACCAGAGCCGTTCCAAATTCGCTCCAAAGTCGAGTCTCCCGGCTGAGCCGTTCCAAATAAACTGATTCAGAGGCCGAACATTTCATTTACTTTAAATTTAGTTTTGGCTCATGAAGAGTTCGTCACCTGAAGTGGGCCAAAAGCCACTACTTACATTTTCAGACGTTCCAATACGAGGTTTTTTGTGCGATACCAAACATTTAACACGTACAGCTTACCTTTAAGCTTTTTCTCTTGAACTTAACTACACCAACATTTTTGGTACAGTTCTTTTGAAAGGATATGCTTATGCTTCTCGTGAAGTATTATACTTTAAATAAAACATCGACTGAACAGCTAAAAGACGGTTTCAAAGAACAATAACGCCGCCGGTGAGTGGTTTCCGAGTTCTTGGTAGAAGAGGTCTGGGTAAACTACCTTACTCCCCAGTACCATGAACAGCTGCAAACTAATGAGATATTTAAGTTCAAATGGAACTCTAGATTTGCAAACTACATATTCGTAAGCGCACTCGGACTTGTAATTTACGAAATGTTTAAGCTGATCACACGCTTTATTGGAACGCCATGCCTCAATTTACGTGTGCCTTGTAAGTCAGGTTACTTGTAATAGCATTGTCCCTACCTTGACGCAAACAATAAACGAGCCGATCAGACACCTACCACGATGAATAATATCCTTCCTCAGTATTTTTAGATGCTACTCATTCCTCTTTAACCCTATACATTGATTCCACCGTTCCCAAAATGTAATAAACAGACTAAGAGTAGTTTTAAGGCATTATCGGATTTAGTTTCCTTACGGAAAACATATTTTGAATATGAATATTCAAACCTTTCAAATATAAATATTTCTAAATGTTTCACCGGTTTAGCATAGTTGATTTTTTGTTTTTCACAACCTTTAAGCTGAAATTTCAATTTTAAAAAA